CGGCACGGGTCGTGCTTGTCCAGGTAGTGCTCCAGCGTGTCCCAGCCGCCCCCGACCCGCACCATGACGTGTTCCCGCAGGATCTGCGCGGGGTGTCGCGTGCTGTCAGGCCCGGAGAGGTGCGTGCCGTGCACCCGTGGGACCCCCACCTCCTTTTAAGCAGCCTGGGGGTGGCATGCTCAGCCGGGCTTCGAGAGCTGTTGGCTTGCCCTAAGTGCCACCACGTCCCCCAAAGGGCAGCTTCACCCCCAGCTCAGCGCTGCCGAGGCAGGGAGGGTCTCAGCTCCTGTTGCCATCCCAACAGGTGTGTTTCTTCACCCCACGGAGAGTGGGGGGCCTTTTGGGACAAACCCCTCTCCACCGACACGTGCTGAGCCCTTTGGGAAGGCCAGGCTTAGGGACGGATCCAGGCAGTGACAGGGCATCCCACTGTTCCCATTGCTGGGTAAGACCTGGCTCTGGCTTGGCGTGGGACACCAGGTTTTTTTCTTGCGCACATGGGTGGTTACATCCACGCAAACACAGCACAGGGCTGGGCTTCCCGGCTTTTGGGGCAATGGTCAGAAAACCCACATTGGCCTCATTTAGTGGATGGATTATGGAAGAGGCTTCATGCAAGCAGAGCAGGATGCCTGGTGCCTGTGCCCCAAAAGCACAGGGTGAAGCGGACTCACCCGGACAAAGATGAGCGTGTCAGAGTCGCCCACACGGTACTTCCCTTCCGATATCTTGATCATGGGGAACTGGACAGGGCAGGTACAGCGGCTCACCAGGTGCTGGACCTGAGGGCAGCAGGGATGGGTCCTCATCAGGGCTCCTGGGAAGGGTCCTGGGGTGGCCATCCCCATCTTCATCTCCATCCCCATCTCCATCCCCATCCCCATCCTGCTCCATGCCCATCCGTACCATCTGGTCAAGGTTGTGGAGGTCCCTTGGCTCCCGGGGTGGCTGGGGCAGGGAGGTGTCTGCAGGCGGCAGGTCCAGCTCCTGGCGGAGCTCCTCCTCGATCTCCTCCTCCATCTGCACAAGGGTTGGGGCGCGCATGCCAAAGCGGGCAGCACGGCGTGCCAGCTCCAGTAGGCACAGCACAAAGTTCTTCTCGTTCTTCCTGAGCACCAGGTCCTCCGTCTCAAACATCAGGACGTCTGGGGCAGGGCAAGGGTGGACTGAGCCAGGGCAGGCACTTGGAGACAGGGACAAACGGGATGGGGGGCACAGGTGGAGTCAAAACCCACCCAAAGGGATGTTATTCCCCAGAGCCAGCCCGCTAGGAATATGGCTGGGTCCAACCAAGGCTGGGATAAATTCACAGAGGAAGAGCCTTCCCCTTGAGCATCTTCAAGCAAAGGCGTGACGGCTGTTTCACGGCATCCCAAAGCCACAAAACCCCGCGGCTGGGTGTGCTGACCGTGTGTCCCTCCATGCCCATGACCCTCCTGAGCATCACTGGTGGTGGGGACTAGGTGGCAGACCCTTTGCTCAGAGCCAGGACCGCTCCTGATGTCCTGATGGCTGAGATCGTGCCGCGCATGGCAGGGCCGCGCTGCAGCATCCGCCCTTTCCATTTCCACCCCCTCCAACACGTACTTGCACCAAAGTAAACACGCCCGCTGGGTGCCAGCCCCAGGAAAGCTGCAAGGGGAGCTTGTGCAAGAAATCCCAGCTGAGGGACACATGAGCACGGTGCTGCCCGATGCTGGGGTGGCACTGGCTTTGGGGGACACAAGGGAAAACACCAGGGGTGATGCCAGGAGCAGCCGGAGGGGATCGCACACAGGGACATGATGGCAGCTGGAGCCCAGCACCCTACCTTTAATATCCATCTCCTTCCTGCACCACTGGATGAAGTTGGAGACGTTGTCCCTGGCCTGGAAGGTGCCCGGCTGTGCCGTGACATTGCAGGCAACGCCAGCGGCGGGCAGGTGGAGGTGGCAGGCCACGCCAGGGCAGGCACGGGCAAACTCCCTGGCCACATGGGTGATGTTGTTGGCGTGGGAACAGAGCACGGTCCCCGTCTCCAGCACCTCCAGGAAGGTGCCCACCTCGATGTCCAGGTCGTAGAGCTCCTTCAGCCACTCCGCCAAGTCCTCCTTCATGGCGTAGAGGTACTGCTCGCTGGACTGGTAGGGACGGATGCTCCGCACCACGGTGCCCAGCGTCCCCCACATGTTGCCATAAGACTGGGAGAAGATTGAGGGAAAGGGGTGGTGGGGACACGGGGAGCTGCCCCGGGCCCTGTCCCCAGCCCACCTCCCCAGCAGCCACACTCACCCGGTGCCACTTGCTCTCTGCCACCCGGGAAGGTGACGCCGTCCTCCCAGTGCTGAAAGCCTTTCTGGGGTCCCAGGGCTGGAATGCAGCGTGGGGAAAGGAAATCACCCTCCTGGGCAGTGGGTGTTTTGTTTCCTTCCCAAGTGCTGTTCCCTGCTCCTTGGTGACAAGGGACAGGCTGCAAACACTCCCCGTTAACCCTTCACTTCCCTCCCTCCCGCCGGGAGCCCGGCTCCTTCTTCCACAGCTGCCCCAGGGATGGGTTTTTCCCCTAGGTCCCTGGCTCCGGGGCAGGAGGGGGTCAAAAAGCAGCTCTTCAGCCTCCAAAGTTGCCCACAAACCCAAAAGAAGGGGGATTTGCCCCCTCCCTGCCACCACTGCACCCACCTTCTCCCGAGGTGGGGTGACCTGGAGGCCCTACAAGATGCATCTTCAGGGCACGGTACCCCTGAATTGATAGCCCTGAGGCAGTCACTTTTTTGCACCCATTTTACAGGCTCAGACACTGCTGAAATGTCACCACGTGGCATTGCCAGCCCTAACGAGGAGCCCATCTGAGCATGGGTGACCCCGAACACAGCTCCCTCCTCCCTGGGTGGGGTGCCCAGAGGGATGGGGAGAGGTTGACCTCAGTACAGGTCCAGCGTGAGGACCTCTGAACACATCATGGTGGGGATGCTCAGACCGGTCCCTCCACATCGCTCCTGCTCTCCACCCACTCTGGGGCACAGCGGCACCGGGAGCTGGAAAGCCAAACCCCAAGGTTGGGGCTTCCAAAAGCCATAGGTATTGGGGCAGAGATCCCTCAGAGAAGCTGGTCCTGATGATGGTTGGGCTCGCAAACTCCTTGGCTCAGCTATCTCGCAGGACCTGCAAATGTCCCAGCAGATGGAGGAGGAAGAGGCTGAAGAGCTGCAAGAGGTAGAGGGTAGCAACAGAGACACCACTGCCATCACTTGCTCTGTGCTTTCCACCAAGCTATGGAGCAAGTGGGTGGTCTGAGAGCTGAGCAGCCCCAAGCAGCCCCAGACCCCCATGCTCTGCCCCGTGGCTCCCCCTCCACCAGCTCCCCCCACCCACACCCCCCAGGGCAGCCCTCCAGGGAAACACCCCCATGCTGACTGCATCTTCATTCACTCATCACTTCATTTCATCTCCTGGCGAGAATGCCAGTGGCTGCTCATGTTTGGGTGTAAATCCCTACACTGGAACCCGGGCTGATCCCTCGAGCCTGCTGCAGTGAACAGATGGGTCTCATCACCTCCAAAGGTTGGGGCCAGGGCATGTCACCCCAAGGACTCCCCTCCCCGGGAGTCCCCTTCGCTCGAGGGCTCCGACCAGCCCTCAGTGGGAGCTGGGAAGCCCAGCAACGTGCAGCGTGTCAGGGCTCAGCCCAAGCTCCGAGGAAATGCAGTAGCTTGGCTTGCAAATCACAGCACAAATCCCCTTCGCTCGAGGGCTCCGACCAGCCCTCAGTGGGAGCTGGGAAGCCCAGCAACGTGCAGCGTGTCAGGGCTCAGCCCAAGCTCCGAGGAAATGCAGTAGCTTGGCTTGCAAATCACAGCACAAATCCTTTATTTGCCTGCCCGCCTTTGGGGTTTCTCTGCATTGTGCTCCCTTGCAAACTTCTTCCCAAATTGCCCACATTAGTGAGGTCTTCGGCAAAAGCCAAGCTCCTCCAAGCATGGCATGACTCCAGGAGCTGGGGCTTTAAGAAAAGAGCTACATGGGTGAGTGGGCACTGCTGGGAATGTCACAGACTCCCTCCCCAGCCCAGGGCTTGCAGAGCTGCCCCAGCACCCAGATACTTGCACAGAAATCAAACCTACCAGGGATGTGCTCACAGCCTGGGACTGAAACTGAGACTCTTCTCAGCTTGGGGGGCTTCTGGCTGTGGCAGGGGACCCCGTTCTCTCCCCGGAGCCAGCTGCTGGTGCTCATGGCAGCTCACACTCCAGCTGGTGTTATTTTGGGGGAAGAAATGCAAGAATCTCAGCTATTCCCCGGGGCTGGGGAATGTGTGGCAGGCTGGCCGGAGGAGTCTGCGCCCGGCATGCTCTGCCAGGGAGCCCAGCAGGAAAAAAAGGATCCTTGTGACGCAGGATTTTCAGCCAGGGCACCCAATGGGGCCAATCACATGGCTCAGGTTGCGAGTCCTTCTCCCCCAGGCCCCCCCCAACTTGCGGGGTGCAGGCGATCCAGCACAGTCACCCCTTCTCTGCCAGCAACGCCGTGCTCAGCCCCAGCCCTGGCAGCATCGCTCCTGACCCCAAAACATCCCAACAGCACACAGCCCCAGCAAATACACTGTGGCAAACAGGGGAGGAAAAGGAAAATCCCAGAACAGGAGAGGACTCGAGGTTGTCCCACGCTCAGTCTCCGTCCGGTCCCACGGCAGAAGGGATGCCCGGCTCTTTCCTAAGGGGACACGAAAGGGGATAGCAACCCGCTGCTTCTCTGCAGAGCTGCAGGCACGGAGTACCCCCAGGGTATGGACGGACCCATAAATCCTCCCGTCTCCAAAAAGCAGTACATGGAGCAGAAGCCACGCTGCTCTTCTGACCATTCTCGATGCCTAGAGCAGACATCTTGATAGCAAGGCCAGCCTTTCCCATCATCCAAGCCATCAGTCTCCCCCCACCACTCCCCACCTCCCCATCACGATGCAGACCCTGCGGCCAGCAGCAGCCCAGGGGCCGAAGGGACGCAGTCTGGAGGCAGGACAGAGCTCCGCAAACACGGCGACACACGCGGGTCCTTCCCCTCGCAGGCAAAACGCTGCCCGTTGAGCAGGACGCCCTGGCATGTCGCAGCACGAAGAGAAGCAAACAGGAGCAGCAGGGAAGGTTTCAGGGTGCTCACTGTCCCACCTTCCTGCACTGCGATGGGCTGGGGCGAAGGTGGAGACATGAAGGGGCTCCTTCAGCGTGAATTCATCCTCCACACTGGGAAAAAAACCTATTAACACATCCCAAGGTGTGGAGAAATCCTCAGCAGTTTGGGATGAAGCAGAAAAGAGAGTTCCCATGTTTTCTTCACTGTCAGCATTCTGCGATTCATATAGTGATTTTTCGGTGGGATCCACCCCCTCCCCTTTGATCTAGCAAGGACAAAAGCTAAGGCCAATCTCAGCAATACCTGCTCCAGTCCCAAACACACACATACATCTTAACTACAGCCCTTTCAGAAAACAGGGCATTGGCTTTCAAAAAAAAAAAACAAAACAAAACAACAAAAGCCTGACGTGAAAAGAAGCAGAAATCCCTACACTGCACATCCAGAGGTTCATTTTATTTGCCATCAGGTCTCCCAGCCCTTGGCACTCCCTGCAAGCGGCATCGCCTTATTTAGTTTAAAACAAAAATGATGTGGCCCTGTCTCTTCAGTAACATTGAAGAGCCCCTGAGATTTTAGGCTATGAGGTGATGAAGTCCACATGTCCGTGCCCGCGCAGGAAGGGCTCACTCACAAATACGATGGAAAATGGTCAGATCTTGGCTCTCCATCCTGCCGGATCTGTGTCTCAGCTGGCATCCGGCAGCATGGAAAGCCCTGGGGAAGCACCAGCCTTGGCACCCTGCCTGGGGCAAGCCTGGCTCCCGCCTTCTCTGCGGGGAAGGACTAGGGTGGGTGAGGGCGAGCAGAGGATGCTGTGCTAAAGGAAAGAGCCCTCGAGGCTGCCAGCACCGGGAGAGCACCCCAGCATGGCACCCTGGGCCACACAGCCCGGTCCCGATGCCACCGACCCAAAGCCGGGTACCCAGCACCGGGGTCTGAGTCCTGGGAGAGCCACCAGCGAAGCAGCAGCCCACCCGCGTACAACCCCAGCATGGTGAAAAACCCCAAATCTCTCAAATCAAAGGACATCTGAAGAAAGTTGAGCCCTGTCCCGCTCAGCACCGGCGGCTGGCATTTGCTGCCGCTGAAGTCAAGCTTCAGGGACCTGACAAGTCAAGCCTCGGGGACCCGACAAGTCACGCCTTGGGGACCCGACGCTCCCCCCCAGCCGGTGGAG